ATTCGTTGCTAAGAAATGGTGTAGAAATATTCGTTTCGGATTATGTAACGCATTCCATATTTTGAACGAAACCTTTGCATATGGCCGCCATATAGATTAGGCATATCCTTTGATATGTGTCTACATAGATAAGACATATCTATATTGAAGTAGTTATTATATTTGTTTGGAGGATAATCTTCGACGAGCCTCTCAAGAAATTCTTTTATCATTATGACATAAATTGTTATGATTTTATTGGGTGTGTTTTAGTAGACGGTCTATATCCTCGCCATTAGAATATTGACTGTAGGCCTATAATATAAACTTAGCTAATCACCATAAATTATTAAACATTCTGTTATTGAGATTAGCCTCTCAAGAACGAAGAAACTCGTTTAGATAAATTATGTGTTTGTATTTTGGTAATATGGATTTTTATTGACTTTGATATAATTTAATATCATTTAATTATCAAATAGTAAAAGAGAAACTTAAAATTATGGATAACTCAACTCATGATTTTCGGCTAGTGAAATGAAATGAAAAGAAATGTGGTTTAACGTCTAACTTTTCGCCATATCCGAAAGACGCTTCAATTTTCTAGTTGATGGACGCCGCTTCCGTAGCTTTTTTTTTTTCAAATTAAAAAAATGACAATTTTGATTATAACGTCATCAATTATGCAAATGAGTCGGGTGGGGATATAGATAATTTAAATCTTCACATCATGCTGAATAATTGATTCAACGGATGAGCTGGGATATCTCGTTTAGTTTCAGAGATACAGGTGAACTAAAAGGATTTACGCATTACCTAAAATACACCAAACTACTCGTTTCAAGGGTTAATCAATGTAATCCTCAATAATTACTCCCTGATAACATAGATGTTATTTCCCAATTAACCCTTTAACATTTACATGTTTAACGTAATATTAGTGCATGAATTAACTTCTGTAAAAACGAACGATAACGACGTCTTCCATCAGTAGTCAGGATAATTGGGCGTTCAATATGATAACGTTCATTTGTCGTTAGTAGATCAAAGTGCCGCTGATGAGAGATTAACCGAGATTAGCACCTTTAGGATTATTACCCGTCTTCATCAGTGGTGTAGATTATCCTATCAGTGTTTGGCTTTATCGATGATGGTTGGGATATTATTGTTATTGATAACTTTGATAATTTGAACAACTTCTAAAGAACCGTCAATCATCTGTGTAGCTGGAACACTCACGGGTAAATATGTATGGCTAGTTAGCTATAGGGCCAAGTCTGCTGGGGAGCCACGGTGGCTCAGCGAGTAAGGTGCTGTCTCATTAAGCAAACGGTCCAAGTTTGATGCCAGTGTTGACTGAGAGAGTTCCTCCGGATTTTCTAGCATGGTTTCCATCTTGTTAACGATGTAGGTCGAGGGATCTGGTAAAGAACAGTGTCTAGTGATTCGGTGGGACGTGCACGTAAAAGAACCCTAGACAGACGGAATTCGATAAAGAGTGGCCGAAAAGCTTGCCGTCACAGCAAATATTCATCCCATGATCATATCGGACTTTTCGAAAAATTACAATTCGTTATTATTTAGAATTTATCTGATAATTTTTTATTCTCAAATCTCACCATTTCACGATAGAACAGATCTTGTTGCTCAGTCTTTTCTATTTTTTAAAAAATACAATATCGTTTTAAAAAACATAGAAACGATCTTTGTTGGCTATTTCGAGTAGTTAAACATTGTTGATTTATATTCACTTAAGAGAGGGGGTGGGCTTTTTTATAAGAGAATCTAGGGAGGAGAAGTATTCTAGATTATTATAACACTTTATATTCTGGTCCTTTTAACAATATTCATCATTCTTTTCTTGACAACAGAAACTTTCATGAATAACATATTTTTTTTCGACTAAAAGGAAAGTTGTTTACTAGGAAGATATTTCAATCAGATAGCTTTCCACTTGACTTAAGATAAATATTAAAAAATATAATTTCATTTCCATAATCCACTTTTCTTGAAATTGGTACAAACAGGATTTTGACGTTAATCTTAAATTTTTGAATGAGATAAATTTAGTTGAGTACATAACGTATTGACATTAAGACATCGACGTGCCGATCATTATGTCTGAATAGGTAATCTAGTAGACATGTCTTTCTATATCCGATGACCTCTGAGTCTCTTTTTCTAAATCCATTTTCTATATCAAATATGACACGATTTAAGATCGTTATTTGCAGTGCCAAAAGCTAAATTAGAAGATTTTATTCATAAATAAATCTATATGTCTATTGTATATAATCTGCTTAAGGGCTCAGGATAACGAATATGATTAAAAACGAAAGTAGACAATGGCGTCTTATGAATGAGACATATATTAACAATGAATATAATTCAGATTATAGATAAAATATCAATAAAAACGATCAGATGACTGGGATTTTAAATATTTTATTTACAATGTAGATATATCACATATATGTAAATCTAATTATTTCACGACCGACGCTTCGTATCATAAAATATAATAGAAATCAAATGGGGTTTAACATCCTACTTTTTGACTAGGTATTATAGAACGGAGGAAAAGTTCAGACTCCGCAGTAAAGAGCGCCTTAAAAACTAAATCGGTTTATTTCACCAGCAGCGCGGAAGAGTGCGGTGACTCAGTTAGTAAGGCACAGACTTATTGGCCAAGTGATTCCGAATTCGATCTAAAATGCTGGCTGAGGCAGTTCCTCGGGATTTTCCAGAATGGTTAGCCCTTATCAGTGGTGCAAGGCCGGGGTTGGGGGTGGGGGTTGTAGCACATACAATGAAATGAAATGAAATAGGGGTTTAACGTCCTAATGTTCTGCTCCAATTGGGCTAATGAAGACGGGCAGTGTACTATGAGCGAAATCTTGCACGGACAGCGGCACTACGGCCTACTCTTATATCGAATTCCAACTGTCAATGGATCTTTTACGTGCACGCCAGTGTGTACACTGGACCTCGGTTTTTCGTCCCATCCGAACGACTAGTCAGGCCTTGCGTCCTGAAACCACGCCAGAAAAATCCCGATGAACTTTCTCGATCGAACTCGCGACCTCCAGGTTAGCGATCCAGCGTCTTACCCACTTAGCCACCGTGGCTCCCGCTCAAACAAAGGTCCCGTGTACACTTTGGCGTGCATATAACAGAACCCCTGAAAGTTCGAATTTGAAATAAAAGTAGGGCTTTGCATCACTGTCCAGGCAGAATAAAAATTCTCTCATGGCGTATGCCCGTCTTAATTAGCCGGAAGGAGCAGAAAAGTACGACCTAAAATAAAAACCATTTCATTTGGACATGCGCGTCGTGACATTAAATATACTAGGACGCAGGAAAAGCTCAGAGCCTGAATTTAAAGAGCTCCTTAAACTAAGAGACAAAATAATGTATGCAAATCTGGTATATTCAATACTGACATTAAGTAGCCTACGAGGATATTTATTTGTCTCGATTCGGTTTTTGTGGGCACCAAAATTTAAAAGGCGACAATCAAGCAACAGGAACATAATGGAACAATTAAGATTTATAGCGCTCAGTAAATTAAGTAAATAATTTATGAAATCCTGCCAGTGTTAATGTTAATGATCAGAGATATTTACACGATTTTCTCGGGCACCAAACTTAAAGAGAACAAGAGTGTACGCGATACAAATCTCTTCATTCCTAACTTATTCAAAATCTTGAAGCCGTTAAAATTTAAAGAGGGGAATAAATTGAATAAATAGTTTATGACAATCTGAGAGAATGAATAGTTATATTTAGTAGATGGCGACGTATTTTATGTATGGATGTCTGGATGCTGACGTTGAAATGATGATTAATTAATCTGAAGAGCTACAATCTCGAATAATTCACATTCTGTTAAATAGATAATAAAAGATGTCATGACATGAAAGTTCTCGTATGAAAATGACAGCCATTTTAAAACTAACAACAAACATACTAATAATTTTACGTCACAAGCCTCCCCATCTCGGACACCCAAACTAAAAATATATACTAAGATCATTTTACGTCACAAAGCCTCCCCATCTCGGACACCCAAACTAAAAACATACTAAGATCATATTACGCCACAAAACTCTCCATCTCGGACACTCTCTGAAAACCCAAGCGATATGCAGTAATATCTAACATAGCTTTGTCTATATTTTATTTCAAATCCCAAATTTAATTCAAACTTCTTGAATCTCTTCTTACGTGACAAAACTCTCCATCTGAAAACCCAAGCGATATGCAGTAATATCTGGCATAGCTTTGTCTATAGTTTATTTCAAATCCCAAATTTAATTAAAATTTCTTAAATCTGTTCTTATAATCGTTATATTCCATTTATAAACTTTTGGTTTAAATCCCCAATTTAATTCAGTATTCTTATGTCTCCCGAACTCTAGTTATACAAGTTACACTCCCTTTATAATATCTAAAATCCCTGATTTATCTCAGAATTCTCAATATTCTGGGATTCATCTTAACGGAGTTATATTTCAAAACTAATATTGACCGTGTGAAAAAATACCTGATCAAAGACAAAACAATAGTTTATAATTACAGATTCTACATAAGTAGATTTTAAATATAGGGATCGGAACTATGTGTATATAAGTTAAAGGGACTGATATATAAATGATGGCGACGGTCGCCTCCCAAGCCGTGTTAATTTCTAATGAGCTCTCCTATAAAATTATATGAAGCAATGTGCCGACATAGGGTAAAAGTCGAGAAATGAATTGAAAAGCCCTCAGTGGGATACGAGAGGAAAGACTATAGCGGCTTTTTGTTGAATACGACAATCCGTCAAAAACATCCTAAACCTATCATTACTGAAAATTACTGAAGTTAATTCGCTCACTTGTCAATCACTCACAATGTAAGCCACACCTTTTTTTTCTGATTGGTTGATAAAGCATGTTGGGCGGGACTTATGATTGGTCTAGGTAAATAGTAGGAAATAGTGTAGTGTTGATGTGTGGTTATATTGTAGTAGTCATACTCCAGCTGACGTCAAGAACAGGACTCTTCTATTGGATTATATTATAGTTTTATATTCTCAGTGAAATTCTATTTTCGCCATGTTTTTAAGTGAGTAATAATATATGGATATTCTACACGCTGATGTATTTAGTCATCTTCAGGAAATTATAAGCACATGGAATATATTTAAAGACTTTCATAGAGCGTCAATGTGTTTTGTGTTTGGATTCACACGAGGTTGATTGCAATGTTTTGATGTGAAATTGAATATATATATTCGTTTATTTCATAACTGTTCCGAGGTCACACGCTGCCCGTCTTTATTATCCGGGTTGGTGCAGAAAGGGGGTCTTTAAACCAATTTTATCTAACATCATGTCGTTTCATATCAAGGTACTTCCTATTGCAACTTGTAAAGGAAGTTAATATACAACATAGATCTATATCTATAATAGCATATGTAGGAACAAAATGTCATCGACATGTTGGAATCCAATACTTTGCATGTTGGCTAAAAAAGTGCATCATGTCTAAAATGCGATTTTTGTTTTTGTTAAATATTTGAATTGACATGTATAGTCATGAGATATAATAGAAATATTTTAATGTCACATGGAAGCGTATCGCTTTATACATGTATACAGAAATATTTAAATATTTCCTCTTGTTAACTCATCATGTTGGACTTTGACATAGAAATATAAATTCGTTCGTGAATCAGGTTGTTGTTTGCATTAATTTACAACTTCGATGCTCTTGTGAACACTTTGTACCACTTCTATTATGGAATCAGCCCACTTGTTGTTCTTAGATTTCGCCGAATTCGTCTATAGGATTTTGACTACTTGTACGGCTTTCAGTCAGGTATTAGCCCGCTTTCCGTCATGGTGTTAGCCCACATGTTGTTACTAGATCTCGCCAAATTCGTTTATTGGAATTCGACTGTCGATTTTGCTTGCTTTTTTATTCTAAATATAAACATAAAGATTTTAAAGTTTATCAGGGATAATTCTAACTTTTTTATTTTTATTTTCAGATAATCCCAGGTCATGAAAAGAACTAAAAGGATTTTAAAGTAAAGGAGTTACTTTTGGAGAGAGAAAAATAAAAACTTTTTTGTAAAGTTGCCATGAAACGACGAAAGTGTGGAGTAAATAACAAGATGGCCGTATGTCAACAGTCCCTGTGTCTGTGTCTGTTTATTCTATCGATTGTGACGATGGTTAATGGTGCAGATTTAACTTACCAAATCCCCGAAGAGCAACCGGTGAACACTTTTATTGGAAACATATTAAACGATACTGCTAATGTTAGAAATGTTGTAAGCGACGAAGATTATTCCAAATTACGATTGAGTTTTTTAACCGAAGGTAACGCCATCACCTCCTTGTTTGGTTTGGATGAGAGCACCGGAGAATTATCCGTCGGTCCTAAATCCACGTTAGACCGAGAAACGATTTGCCCTTTCAGTGTCAACTGTGTCATTTCTCTCGATGTTGTTATCCAGTCGCCTCTGAATCAATTCTTTCGCAAGGTTTCCGTCAACGTTATCTTAGACGATGTCAACGACAACCCACCTCGATTTCCTAGCGATTCCGTGGCTCTTGATGTATCTGAAGCCGTTTTAGTAGGTGCTTCCATTCCTTTAGAAGGTGCCTCGGATCGAGATAAGGGCAGGAATAATTCCTTACAAACCTATGAGATTGTCCCAAGTGATGGGGCTTTCGGAGTATCGTTCCGAAAGAACCTCGACGGAACCTCTTATCTCAACCTGGTTGTCAAAAAAGAGCTGGATCACGAGACTACCAATAGATATTCCCTGCAGATAGTTGCTAAAGATGGCGGAGTTCCACCATTACAGGGGATCATGAAAGTTGAGGTGACTGTCACTGACGTTAACGACAACCTACCCAAGTTCAACAAAGATAGCTACAGTGTTAACGTGGACGAAAATGTTTCTCAAAATTCCGTTATTCTCACAGTTGAAGCAACTGATTTGGATTCTGGCGACAATGGAGACATAACTTACAAATTAAGTTCTCATCAAGATCAGAAAATCCTGAACCTGTTCTCAATCGATCCGAGAACGGGTGCTATGGTTGTTACTGGTGATCTGCAGGGCGAGGCTACAGAACGTTATGACGTCATTGTTGAAGCTAGTGACCATGCGTTGCAGCCGTTTACAAGTCAAATTGTCGTTACTGTCACTGTGCGCGATGTTATCAATAGCTCACCTAAATTAACTGTCAACATCCTATCAGGTGCGAGCATCTCGGAATACGCCAGTCTGGGTGCAGCCGTCGCACACGTAGCCGTTAAAGACTCCGATCGAGGTCGCAACGGAATCGTCACCTGCAAGTTGCAGAACCAAATTTATTTCGATCTTCAGGGCTTTGATGTCGATGAGTACAAAGTCATTGTCGCTAAGCAGTTGGACAGTGAAGTCACCCACCAACAAAATGTTACAATCATCTGCGAAGATGCTGGAACGCCGCCACTGACAGCCAATTCAACATTTGTCATCAAAGTGATTGATGAAAACGATAATGCGCCAGCTTTTATGGAAATGAGATATTCCGCCAATATTACAGAAAATAACAAAATGGGCCAAAGCATACTAACAGTGACAGCCCAAGATTTAGATTCGGGAACCAATGGTGAAGTTAGATATTCTCTCGCGTCAGATTCCTCGGGACAATTTTTAATATCCCCAGAAGATGGAGTCATCATGGCTAACACACGATTTGATTACGAGACACACAAATACGTCAACTTCACCATATTAGCCATTGATCAAGGCAAGCCACAAAAAACAGCCACAGCGAAAGTAGCAGTTAAAATCTTGGATATCAATGACGAACCCCCGAAATTTTCTCAAGAAATTTTTACAGTGCCTGTTTCCGAAGTGGCCCGACCAGGTGAACTGGTTTCAATAATATCGGCTATAGATTTCGAATCGGGAGTAAACGGCGAACTCGAGTACTATTTTGTGAACAAAACGCCATCCATCCCATTCACGTTGTTAAGAAACGGATCAGTGATTTTAGATGAATCTTTAGATTATGAGAAGAAGTCGGTGTACGAATTCAGGGTGATGGCTGTCGATAAAGGCACACCCCCTCTCAACGCCACAGCTCGTGTTATCGTTAAAGTTAAAGATATTAATGATAACGTACCCATTATAACCTTCCCAAACGTTTCTAACTATCTTGTAAATGTAACTTTCGCTGATACTACGGGCACTGTCATCTCTCGGATACGGGTCACTGATTACGACTCGGGGCTAAACGGACAGATTCATTACGTCATCACGGCGCGTAATGATAGCGGGAGATTCGACATCAATTCGAAGACGGGGGAAATCTTTACGACTAGAAGTTACGATATGGATGATATCAACATGTATCGTCTGATTGTCAGTGTTCAGGATAAAGGCAGTCCGCCATTAGCCAAACATACCACGCTTTTAATTAAACTGACCAAAGGCAACGGCACAGCTGCTGCCGCACACGTTCTCGGCAACGAACAGAATATTTTGATAACTTTAACGATCGTCTGTGTGACCATTGTCCTCTCGGCCACCATTGTGTTAATTATTGTCATCATGAGGCGCCGAGACAGAAAGAGAGAGGGTACCAATAGCAGACAAACAAACGGAAATAATGAAACTGGAAAATACGATGACCCAATTAAAAGCAATAACATCAACGAGATGAAATCCAATATGGCGGATGATGGCGATTTTGGATTTCCGGTGCCATCTGACACAAGTTCTGTTTTACAAAACCCGTCCTGTTTAGACAATAAAACCAAGGTAAGACAATTTACAGATATTTTAAACATTGTTAACTTTTTGTCTCGAATACCCTGGAGAATATCTCGAAGTGTTTTACCAATAAATTGATTAGAGAACCTTCCCGCCGAATCATCATTTCTATGTGAACGTGCAACTGATTGTTCCTCTGCGAGTCTGTCAAACGTGGCTTTTCGATTAAATCGCGATAAATGAGTCGGTTTATTCTCTTGAACACGTAAACCGAGGAGAAAAACGTCGAGAAGCGGCATCGTTGGTCTGTCTTTTGTCTGTAAATTATCTGAAACGAGCACCTGTTCAGAAACAGTTTAGCTAAGATTCGCGCCAAATAGACGAAAACAGCCGGATTCATTAGAGCCTACTCGTTGTTTTATGAGCCGTGTTGTGATAAGGAATAGTATATTGCACATGCGCACTTCCAGATTCCTGACATTCTTATCAGAGAAAAAAGCCGAATAAACTTGTCATCGGTTCCATTCGACTAAAGTTAAATGAATGTACAATACAGTATCAAGCTGTTATCGTGCTGAGTTGAGCTTCACATTGCCAAATTTAAACATCCTTATCATATTAATTAACTTTTATCGTTTCAATTATTTGATAGTTCTTCCACGGCTTCTTTGGCGTCATTTTTCTCTCTATTCAAATGCATTCTACTGCTACTTACAGTAGGTGAAATGACCATTGTTTAGTTAATTGTTGATTATGTATTTTTCCCGTCTTCATTAGCCCAGTCGAAGGAGAGTAGTAGGATGTTAAACCTCATATCATTTCGATTATGTATTTAATATATCGGCGCTTTGGCACAATCATACGAAATGAAATGAAAATGGGTTTAACATCCCACTTCTCTGCATCAACCGTTTCCACGTACTCTTTATCGTATATCATCTACCAATGGTTCTTTAAAGTACACACCAACGAGTACACGATTGGATTCTTGACCCATCCGAACGACTAGACGAATTTTCCTTACTAGGACCTTCATGTTGCATCATTGACATTGGGAAACTAGGCTGACACAATACTAATTTATCTATCATAAAATATAAATCTCGTATATGTGCACGTACATTTATAATCAATAAGTGGAAGGACATTTGCAAATACCAAACGGAGTGGTATAGTCACTGTAGGCTACTTATTCATCCCAATCAATTAATCACCAATTCCGCATGCGAGACTAATTTTTCATTTTGATTCATGAGTTATGCTATGATCGCTATACATGTATGTTAAAATTCTTCATAACATTCCCAGGTAGCAATGACCAGCAAACATACAGTTATGTTATTAAATGACTTGTACTGGTCATTAATCTACACCAAACACGTCATTAATCACGTGCTGCTGTTCATAGTACGTACATACATTATACCCATGCGCTATTACACTTTCAATAAATTTCTAAACGCATCCATTCATTTGAATAGTAAAACGAGACTTTAGGTATGGCTATTAGTCATGCTCGTGGTTTTATTATTCGTTTGGATGTTAGCGATGAAAAACAATTTCTGCACTAGAATCCTAGTGATCTTGTCCATTTATATGTAACCGTTTCATAATACATTGCCTATCCAAGTAAACATGAAAAGTCTTTTCGAAATATTCATATTTTCTCACGAATGTCCGAATGAAGTTTTTAAAAAGTTCGTAGATGTATGTTTTACTCTGAAAATTTAACATTTTCATAATACGTTGTCTTTCCAAGTAAAGATCAAAAGTTGTTTCCAAACATTGCCATTTTCACACAAATGTCCGATTGAAGGTTTTAAAAAGTTCGTACATGTACCATAAAAATCAATTTTTAGCAAAAATTAAAAGTTTTCGAATTGATGTTTAACAATAGGAACTAAGAATGTAAGAAACAAATAATGTAATATTGAAAACTTGCGGATTGTCGTAACAAATTTCGTTTTTAAGAATCAAAAGAATTTGTTGGTGAATCTTGAAATTATTCTAGTGTAGAAATATTTTGGTTGTTCACGTGACAACAGGTGCCCGTTTAGAAAATACCTGTACAGGTATAACAGGTAAGAAACACGTCTGTGTATAAATACCTGAGATAGATGAAGTTCCTGTATAATCGATGTTTTTATTGTTCTAGTACCATTAACTATTGATCTACATCTAGGTAGTATCAAGTTTGTTCAGGGTTGTGATGTATAGTGACAAATGTAACTTTTTTTGATTTCTGATATCCCGTCTTCATTATCCCAGTCGAGGCAAAAAAGTTGGACTTTAAACTCCATTTCATCTCTGAGGATTACCTTGATAGTTGGGGTTCGAAATAACGTAGATCGTAGCACCGCTGTCGAAGCAATATCCTTATATTTAAACTACGTCATCGTGCAAAGATAACCGTGCATGTAGGAAATGTACACAAAATCTGATTCGAATTGAAAATCTTTTACAGTAAACGACGTCATCAATTTGGTAATTTCAAAGTAATATCTTACAATTTTGTATTTCCAAGTTTTCGTATTAGTGTCACTGGGAATTCTTTTTATAATTTTATCGTTTGATTTATATTTTCTGTAACACAACAGTCAAGGCACTTTAAAGTCCAATGATTCTTGAGTATAAGTACAGACACAACGAGCGAAACCAATTTCAATGGTTCGTGCATGCGCTACCCCACTACTACCGTCTCAAGTACCAATCAAGTCGTTGTATTAACTTTGCCAACTAATGTATTATCGTAGTCTAACTCTCTTGAGTGGATTTAAAATCCCACAAGTATCCGATGTTTTCGTGTTCATAGCTGGTGGCATTCAAATTAAACTTTCGATTCGTATTTAATTCTATTAATTTATTCCCATTTACACCACTTTCCTAAACAAATAGAGTTATATTGTCTTAAGCATCTCAGCAATTAACGGACTTAAGTCGGGCTACTCTCGGGGGTTTTAAGACACTGATTGTGTCAGAATCCTTAACGAGCTCGTGGTATGCCATCGACATGATATGACGTAACCACGACGCCATTTTGTAAACGTAAGTGAGGCTTGACGTAATAATGTGTAGATAAGATTCGGTTATTACAATTTTGAACTAATTTATCGGTATATATCTATGTCTGGATGTCAGAGAATTCCCATAGGACCTATTGACCAGTACCTGATGCACCTCTGCATTTGCATCCTTTGTATCATCACCTGTTGCTAGGGCAATTAGTGCAATTGTTAATTACATGTGTCAAAACTAAACGAGTTTGTGATAGACTGGGTGACAGGCGGTAGTATTGACCAGGGCACGCGAACAGTAGGCATTTCGTGTTAATTAAGAGGTTATTTAGACAACGATTCGTGTCAATTCAATCTCCATAACCAATTTATTTGTAAACATACTTTACATGTAACGCAGACGTTTACGTAGACGTAGACGCCTTTTAACACCTTGTCTATAAGTGGAAACGGACGTAGAATGGCAATAAACGAACTCATCTCGAGTACTGTTAAAATATTTTGTTAAAATTCATTAACTATAATTACTCGTATAATATATTTTTTATAAGTGGAAACACGTGGGGAGCCATTTATCTCTTTATAAATCTTTGAGCGCCATTAAATGGTTCATGTACATCCGTAATATGTTGATTAATGTCACATGGCTTCATCAACGTTACAATGTTACATGCACGTTTTAAAACGATACACAGTGAATTAATGTAAGTTTTAATTTTAAATAAATTAAAGAGTCGTGTTAAGAAAAATCAGCGGGCGTTACATCAAAGTTGATACACGATCTTGCATGGATGTGTTTCTTTCTTTGACACGATTTCCGGCTTTCATTTCAAAGACTTCTTCTAGTTGATGAGGATTTATAAAGGGGACCCTAGCAATAAAAGGATTGCGAAACTATTTACAACAAATTAAAATATAATCATATCCAAAAGCTTTAAAAGATTTTAAACGTAATCAATTCTGAGTCGTCATAACATAATCTTAGATGATTCCAAGATTCCTCAATTTGAGCACCTCAAATCAAAATAGAAGGTTTAGATGTACCTTCTATACACTTTGTCCTAAATATGAACTTCAACAAATCTCCGTATATTGTAACCAAATTTAATTAGAAGAACATTTATTAATATGCATATACCATTCATTATCCCCCTTTATTCAATAAACTTGTTTATTTTCGTTTCGTATTATCTTCTTCTGTGGAGGGTTTCATCAAGGGGGCTTACTCAAACCAATATTGTCATAGTATTGTATTGATAAAAGACTTACACTAAGTAGTGAATATAAGTACAGGTTTTTTTTTATTCTATCGATAAGCTTCTTATTGAGAACAATAATATTGATATTTTGAAACCACGGACACGTGTAGACTAAAATCACAATGATAAATATACAACATACAGGGAATCCAAATTGCAGTTTGCGTACATGTTCTGGTCGGTGGGGAAATTCACACGTTGTATTTAAAATTGTAGTGTACATGTATGTGTATTTTCTCGTTTTGGAAAATTTACACGTTATATTTTGTAACATGCACTACTCATGCCCTCCAATACACGTGTATAGGTATTTAGTATTTTGATTCCAAATGTAGACAAGACGTATTTGTGTTCTAAAATAAACTATCTGGGCGAGCTAGAAGGGTTAGCACAACTGGAGCCATATACATTTCCATATCGCACCGAATAGCTTCATTTTTACGTCCGCTTAAAACTATGGTAATATTCAAACAACACTGCATTCATTCGTTCGTTTGTTATTGGGGGGGGGGGGTAACATCCGCTTTCACGGAATGTGATATCACAGTCAAGCAATGTCGCATTCGTCTTTTAGTAGAAGGTTAACGCCTCCTTCTATGGAGGTGAGGTGGGTAGGGGTATCGCAGACAAGTAACGTTGCATTTCTTACACTAAACAGTTTTACTGCAATTATCACATGACGCCCAAATCTTGTGATTATATATTTAAGTGTAGTTTGTATTCAAAGTTTTAAATTCTATGGTAGATGTTAAAACTGTCATACGTTGATTTATAG